TGCAGATCGGTGATGGAGTTGAGGAAGAGCGAGGAGAACGGGTCAACGGTCTCGGGATCGTCGTCCAACGCGGATCTCGACCTGTCCCCGAGAATCCCCCCCTCGAGGATCGTTCTCGGGGGCAGGGAGGGAGGGGAGGACGACTTGCCCAAGATCTTCGACAACATAGACGAGCTGTTGCGCGATTACGAGAGGAGCAAACGAGGGTTCAGGACGAATCCGTTTTTGCGAAAGAGCGAGGACGAGGCATGCCTCGAGAGCGAAGAAATGGCAAATTGCACGGCGGACGAGTCATCGTCCACGGCGGCGTTCCACAGGAGGAGCAACGTGTTCAAAGATAGCGAGGCGCACAGGGGCGCATGGGCGGAGATGCTGAGCACCGTGCTGGATTGGACCCTTGCCTTGTCCGTAAGTCCTCGCGTATTGAATTATTATCTTTTCCAGGATCGAAAAAATCTTTATCCTCGTCTCACACCCGAAACTGTGGCCGATGTAAAAGGAAAATATATTTTTCACAGGACGAGCAACTGGTCCCGCTGCTTCCCGTTTTCGTGAGCGGGGTGAGAGTGCTTACACGTTACGCGGTCGACCAGGTTCTGAAGCAACGATTGTCCACCCTTTTCCATCGAATCGCCGTGCTCTACGGATTGACGAGCAATTAGGAACAGCTTCGATACATCTGGGAACGGATGTATTTTCACGACACTTTATGAAAAAAGAAAAAAAGAAAAGAAAAAGAATAATTCTTCTCATAACTGGTAATCGAACAGAGAGAGAGAGAGAAAACGTGTGAAATATACGTACGTGTCGATTAACTCGTTCGAGGAGAATAATCGGTTTCGATATTTTCTTAGTATAGATATTTTCCAAATCTTTACGAGGAAGGAAGAAAATCGATAGACCGACGATTCACGGAATCGATCTACGAGATTAATATGAGACTGATCTCGAAACGTTCTTTTCTTTTTCTTTTTTTTTTTTTTTTTCGAGAAGAATCGTTGAATGATTTTAATCGCATCTATCCTACGAAACTATCATACTCTTTACCAAAGAAACTATCCACGATTGTCGAACAATTTAAACGAAAATTGGAGAGATATTACGGAGGGAAGAAATTGCAAAACGCTTTCCTCGTCCTATTCCATTCTTTCTCGGGAGGATTAAAAAGAAAAAAAAAAAAACGATAGAGAGGGATCTGGTCGAGACAGCAATTTTCAAATTCAGGAATCAGGAGTGCACAGCGAGAGAGACAAGAACTCGGCTCGTTCAACTGTCGTGGAGAAAAAGGAGCCCACGAAGTTCGAAGCCTCGCCTATCTCTAGTTTGTCGCGCCCTCAGACCCGTCGACACGGAGAGACAAGGATTTTATTTACGATCCACACTCTGCACGCACGCATCTTCTCGATTCTCATTTTATGCTCTTCGCGCTTAACTGTAGTTTGCGGTCCAGAGTCGGATGGGTTTGCTTCCATCGGTCGGAACAACGCGCGAGTCGCGACCAGTGTTCGATACGTTCCGCCGCGTATAAAGATACCTCGAGATTTTCGACCGTATTTTATTCTTCCCTCTATATTTATTTACCCCTCCATTTTTCCCGTTGAAAATTTGAGAATGAATGGAAAACGTTCACGAACAGAAGTTTCTTTAATTATTTTTTTCTCGCCTCGACGACGCTCTTACCCAAGGAAGTCTAAGTCTAAGAACTTAGTGGAAGAGCGAAGCTGGACGACGAGGAGGAAGAAGAGGAAGAATCATCTTTTAGATTTATCTCTATTCCCCGAGATTATTATTTTCCGCGTAGTATTTTAAACGTCCTCTCCGATTCCCTCGAGGATCGAGTCGTTAAAGAATGTTGCACACAGGAATACGTTGATGTAGAAGGTGAGAAGAAATTAGAAGAGTCGAAAGATTCGTCACTCGGCGAAATAGAGGAAATAATTTGGATTAGGATAAGAAAGAGAAAAAGAAAAGGTTCGTTCTTCGACGAAGAGCGATTTTTGACAAACGAACGAGGGAAAGAAACGAACACGACGACGTTATATTTTACTGTAAATAGTACGTCTTGCGCCACGTCCATTGTCGACGCGATTAAACGAGGCTAGATAGACTTTTATCGTTTGATTTCTATCGTTTTCCCTCCATGTTTAGCCGACGACTAGCAAGCGATTTCTTTTTTTCATTTAGTTTCTTTTTTCGCTTCGATAAATATATATATATATATATATAT